CGGCGGTGATGATCAGTGTCAATTGTACACGCAGTCGGTGCAGGAGCTTGTGGATGACGCGCTGCAGGGCGCCAACGTGACTGTTCTCACATACGGTCAAACAGGCAGTGGCAAAACGTACACCATTCTTGGTTCCTTGTCTAGTGGCGATCTGACGGAGGAGTCTGGTATCTTTCCTCGTGTTTTTCACGACATATTTGCGTATAGGGAGGCTGTGAAGAGGGAACGACACCTTCTCGTTTTCATTTCCGCGGTTGAGATCTATGTAGATGACGTCATGGATCTTCTTTCCAAGCGAAAGAGGGTAAAACTTCGCGAGACACCCGAGGGGACATTGACCCCGGGTGTCAACATTATTGAGTTACGGACAGTGGAAGACGTGATACAGACATTTAATATGGCCAACTCATACCGGTCTGTTACATCCACAAAAATAAATGACTGCAGCTCACGCTCGCACGCCCTGTTCTTTATTGATATTTTTCAGATGCCCCTCAGCGCATCCTCAGAGCCTCCAGCACGAGAACAACTGATAGACGCGAGTGGAATCCCTATTAGTGGCGACATCAAGGGACTTGTGCGATCTCGCATTGCGCTGGTTGATTTGGCAGGTAGCGAGCGGGTGAAGCGCACAGGTGTGGAGGGGCAGGCCATGGTGGAGGCACAGGCTATCAACAAGTCACTCGCAGCTCTCGGAACGACCATTAATGCCATGTACATGGAGAGTAACCACATCCCGTTCCGGGAGTCAAAGCTGACGAGACTCCTCAAGCCATTATTTGTCGATAGGAATTCGCGTCTTCTTCTTATTGGCCAAATTTCTCCACCCAGCGTGAGCGCGCAGGAGTCAAGGGGGACGTTGCGTTTTTGTGATCGCGTGAAGGGTTTGAAGGCGGGCAGTCCGGCTTTTTTTCTTAGCCAGGAGGACGAGGAGAGTTATATTCGATCGCTTCGGCAGCAGGAGGAACTCACTGCAGAGTTACGAATTGCAGGTGCGGAGTGTTATTACCAACCAATGCGCCCTCTTTTCATGGCGTATGTGAAGAACATTAGTGTGGATGAGGCTCGCAGAGCATCCATCGACTTGCTGCAGAGAGACGCATCCAGCATCGTAGCGCGTAAGGAGGAAGAGTGCATGCGAGCCATGGAAGCGGAGATACGGGCGAAGCAGATGGAGAGGGTACATGCGTTTGCGGACAAGATGAACCAGATGATTGATGAGTACGAAGCCTTGTCGCACGCTGTAAAGAAGGAGAAAAAAGATGCCAAGCGAAGAAAGGAGGAACAGGCGGAGGAGCAGGAGAAAAAACTTATAGGGGCCAAGAAGGCCAAGAAGACGCGTTTAAAAATGGAAGCGAAAGTAGAGAAATTAAATATCGCTTTGAAAGAGATGGAGAGGCACGCGGAAGAAATGGAGGCGGCATTTACGTCTCCTTTAGTGGAAGACACCAATGAAAGTACGGAGGAGTTGACGACGGGGGAAACGCCCAAAGACGACTCCGTCCAGTTATTGGTGGAGAACTTCCACTCCCACACGACAGAGTTGAACCGCCTTCAAGATTTGTATGCCCAGTGGTTGGGTGCTACGCAACGACAACGCTCCCAAGTGCGCCGAGCGAAGCTTTTCAGTTCCTCCATCATCATGGATGGCACGTTGGTTTACGACATTATTGACTTTATCATTGATCGCTCCGTCGACATTGCAGACGGAGTAAGCCACGCGGAAAAGAAGTTCTCATGGAACGATATTGATGGTTTCAGTAGTCTTCTGCGTAGCGGGGAACGTCTATACCCGCCCTTGGTGACAACACCGTCAAGTAAAGCTGAGGTGTGCGAGCCGAGTGCATACCACAACGTCACGTTTCTCTCCTCCGATGAAAGTGACGAGGAAAACTCTCACCACCGTGAGGAGAATCGTATGCTTCGTGGTGATTCGAGGTCCTTTTCGAGTAGTGAGGGACCCAATACGCCAATAAAGGGCCAGTACGATGCATTAGGGGACAAAAGGGCGCAAGGGACTTTTAAGCAACCGGAATGGAATGGTCTACAGCAAACAGCAAACTTGGAAGGTGAATTTATTTTGCAGGGAAGGGATGGAAGCATGGCTGACGCAAATGGGGATGACACTGACGACAACTGCTATGACGAGGAAAAGAAGGGGGAAGGCGAAGAAAGAGCAGGGAAACAACCCAGGCAAAACAAAGAAGAAAATACGAATGATGAAGAGGCACAATCTTTGGAAAGTACTCGAAAACGCGATGTACGGGATAATGAATACCTAATGCGTGTATACGACTCCCCAACGCTTGTGCATGACCTTATCCGGTTTCTACGCGGTGGTACTGTGATGTTGAAGCACGGACGCAGTGGGAGACCACATTTTCGTTACTTTTGGGTTACAATCTCTCAAAACTCACGGAAATTGGTTTGGACGGAACCGGAGTCAAAAATAACAGCAGAACGTTCATCCATAGACCTTGACGATGTAAGCTTCATTCAGCTCGGGTGCTTCAGCAAAGTCTTTAAACGCCACCCCGTCGCATCGACTGATCCCAGTTTCTACCGCAGCTTCACTTTGGGGCTGAAGGGCGGTGGCCGCACTGTCGACATTGTCGCCGGCTCCCTGCCTGACTTTGAGGCGTGGATTGTTGGCTTGTCCAACTTGGTGCGCGTGGACCCCGTGTGGGGAGGAAAGCTTGACATCACAAAGGAGGCACACTTTGAGCAGCTCAACTGCTTCGAGGCGAGCCTATGTGAGATGAACTACATCTACCCCTCACAGTACATTTTGCTCAAGAAGCGCGTAAAACGGATTGCGATGAGAACGCTGGGTGTACTGGAACAGTGCGGCAACGATGCGACAAAGGCATACAAGATTCTTGGCGGCATCCACCCCCCCGCGGTGAACGAGAAGGGGGCGGTGTACCTCACCAAGGGGGAGCTTCGGTTTATCGGGCTAAATGACATGGATATTCTTCGCATCACGAAGGTGTGGATTTTGTTTCAGCAGATGAATCTTGTATATGACGAAAACTTTGTCCCGGCAACGACTTTCGGTGTCACCGAGCGTCACTAAAGACTTTGTTGTTCCTGTAGAAATAGCTAAGGAAAAAAAAAATGTTTTTTCTTTTCTTTTTGTACTCCCCATTTGTTTTTGCAGCAAGTCCCACATTCCTTTTAGTGTTCAAAATATGTTTCCCTTTTGCAACAGAGGGTGCAAAAAATCATCTGTTATTTTCGTGTGGACTCGTTAATGGCGTAACCATCGTAACGGGAGAAGCCGATTTGGGCGGGTCTTCTTCTGTTTTTTTTTTCTTCCTTTTTTTTTTTTTGTTGTTGTTGTTCTCTTGCCATTGCCGTTGCATGGGAAGAGTTGCCTCAATTGAACGGAGTCGCGCCCCCACCAAGTGGGGGGTGGGGGAACCGCTCCAAATACGGTTCCTCCCTCCTCTTCCTCTTTTTTTGAATTTTTGTATGTCTCTCTCCCTCCCTCTCTCTCTTACTTGCTTTACTGTATGGACGGGGCACAAGATCATCAAACACCATTCCACAAAAACGTCGGAAGGAAAAACAACAACAAAAAATAATCAAAAGCCAAAGAAAAAATAAAAGAATAGAGAAGAAGAGCGGAAAAGAAACGAAAAGAAAAGAAAATCCCAATGCCTACCAAATACCCAAATTCAATAATGCTTTTCACTGTACTCATTTGCTTTTGGCTTTTTTCATTGTCAGCAGACGCGTGGTGGTGCAACGGGCACATGTTGGTGAATGAGATCGCCAGACGCCGGCTGCACCCCGAGGTGGCTCTAATAGTGGAGGAGGCAGCAGTCAACCTCAGCGCCAGCGGGCCATTCCCTAGTACGACTGATTTTGTGGAGAGTGGGTGCTGGGCCGACGATATCAAGAAATTGGGGCTTTTTGTCATGGAAGATTGGCATTATATTGACACACCGTACAATCCGCATAACATTAACATCAAGAAGAATTCCGTGAATACGGAAAATTTGAAGACTGTTATTGAAAGCTTGAAGAGGACGCTGAGGAGGCAAGATCCGCTTCCATATATTATGAGTTTTGCCATTGTGAATATTGCTCACTTCCTTGGTGATATCCACCAGCCTCTGCACGCAGTGGAGTTGTTTTCTCCCGAATATCCACACGGCGACAGGGGCGGCAACGCGGAGGCAGTTATTGTTCATGGTAAAATGATGGCATTGCACTCACTGTGGGATTCCATTTGCCAGGGTGATGTCAAAAATCCAAGACGACCTTTGGACAGATGGCATTACGCGAAGTTGAGGGAGTTTGCCGACCGACTGGAGGACACCTACAAGTTTCCGGCGGAAGTGAAGAGTGAGACAAACACGACTCTGATGGCGATGGAGAGCTACGATATTGCGGTGCAAGTTGCCTACCCCGGAGTTGTGGACGGTGCGAAAATCACTGACGAGTACCTTGAGAAATGCAGGGCGGCAGCAGAGTCCCGTGTGGTACTTGCGGGGTATCGATTGGCCAATGTACTTAACCAGCTGCTCGACAAGACTCAAAAAAGAAAGGTTTTGGAAGCAAAATCTGCTCGATCGTGCGGGTTTTATTCTTTATTAAGGTCCGTCTTTGTTGATCGCCAATTGGAATCACTGTTTGGCTGCATCAATGGGTAAGTTTGTGAACAGGGCCATATTTATTTTTGACTTGCATTTTAATGTTGTCCAGGTGCAAGTTTCTCCTTTTTTTCAATTTGTCTTGGCATTTTGCTTGGCGTATGTACTTCATTTGTGCTTTTTTTTGCTTAGGGATTTTTTTAAAATGTTTGTGCTTCAGAGGATGCTTTATTTATTTATTTATTCATTTTTTTTTTTTAGCCTGTTCCAGCAACTGGGGAGGAACTGATGTCTCTTCATGGCTGCTCAGGAACTAATGGCTTTGCTTGACGTTGGAGGGGTGCTGGCACCCTTCCTATTTGCGCAATTGCGCACTTACACGATTTTTTTCTACCCCAGATGCTGCTTCCACTACTAGTACTTTTCTTTCTCTTATTGTCTCTGTCAGTCCTCTGTCGTTCAGTCATGGATGGCGTGGCTTTTGTTGATGGGAAACCGGTGCCGTGTGTCATGACACTGAGCCAGGTGCAGGCTTTATTTCCACAAGGCCTGGTAGGCCTTTGTGAGTGCTTCGGTGGAAGATCTCATGTTTTTCCGGATGCGGAGGGAACTTTTCATCTTAAGGGCGGCGCCTCATATACACTGAAGTTAAGTGGCGCAGCAAAATGGCCGAGTCAAGGTGAAGGTAAGGGAGAAAAACAGGGGCCTTGTGCCTGGGCTCCTTCTCTATCCACTTCTACTTCTACTGCCGCTAAGCCTATCGTTGATTCCACGGCATTGTATAATGCTAATGCGGAGGATGAACAGTGCCTTTTTCGTTCAGCCAACGCTTCTCCTTGTTACGCGGAGAAAAGTGTACGGGATATTTTTCATTCAGCTTCTCCACCTGATGCGCTTTCGGACGCCCGGGCCGGTAAGGTCTCATATAACGTTGGGACGGCGAGCTCCCTTGCGGAGGATGATGCTCCACGCACGGCTGTTGACTGCTCGGGGGAGTTGTCCTTTTGTTTGCCTTTGGTCGGCACTAACGACACACCGGGAAAGCACATTCAGGATCGTGTGCACGAGTACGTCTTTCTTCCAACTATTGCGATTCGTATAGTTGACACGCTTGAGTTTCAACGTCTTCGTTCGCTGAAGCAGCTTGGCACCACTGTATTTCTCTATCCAGGCGCAACACATACACGCTTTGAGCACTCCATAGGCGTGGCGCATTTGGCGTCTCAGATGGTTCGTCAGATTGCTCTTTGTCAACCCGAGTTGAATATTACACGAGCTGATACCATTTGTGTTACCGTTGCAGGGCTGTGTCACGACATTGGCCATGGTCCGTTTAGCCACTTGTTTGAGCACCTGGTGAATCGCATTCGTGAAAGGAAAAGAATAAAAGGCACGTGGCATCATGAGCAAATGTCTATCCGCCTTCTGCGTCGTATTCTCTCCCGAATTAACCTTTGGGAGTACGGTCTGACAGATGAAGATGCACGTTTCATAGAACTTTGTATATTGGGGCTTGCCCCAAAATCACCGTGGCCCACAAATGTTGGACGTCCGCCATACAAGCGATTTCTTGTGGACATCGTGGCGAACAAACGCAATGGCGTTGATGTGGATAGGCTTGACTACTTTCTTCGAGACTCGCTTGGTTGCTATGGTCGCGCCGCTCTTGATGTACACATTCCTCGTCTATTTAGCGCGTGTAAGGTATTGTGCTACGAAGGTGAGTATCAAATCTGTTTTGAAGAGAAGATGGCCCTGAGTCTCAGCGACATTTTAAATGTGCGAGCGAAATTGCACAAGCACGCATATCAGCACCGGATTGTTAAGGTCACTGACTACATGGTCTCGGATGCCCTTTACGAGGCAGATCCTTTCTTCAAGGTACGTGGTACAAACGGTAAACTTATTTCCATGTCGGAGTGCGTGGAGGATGAGGAGGGATTTTGTCAACTTGGGGACTGGGTGTGCAATGCCATCGCCGCTTCTAGCGATCCACGGCTGGCAAAGGCGCAGTCAATCATTCAGCGCATTAATGAGCGGAACTTGTACAGGGTTGTGGGGACGGCGATGTTTGCGCGGTTTCAAGTGAGGGTTACAGAGGAATCCATCCGAGAGGAAATATTGAGTTACTGCATGGAAATTGAGGCGGATTTGGTGCTGCGGGATGCGATTGACAAGACGTTGATCGTCTCATTTGTTGTGATTACATTTGGGAGCTTTGACGATAACGGTCTTCCGGATGATCCCATTAACAAAGTCACATTTTACAATCCAAAGAACATTGAGCTTGGTGCTTTCAAGCTTCCAAGAACACGTGTGAGTCCCCTGTTTTTGCCGAGTGAGTATGGCGAGCGGATGTTGTTTGTTATGGTGCGCGAGGAGGCGCTTGCCGATGTTGTCACGGCTGCATTTGAAGCATGGCGGGAGCGTTACGAGCGGCATTTGGGGGTGGCCGTGCCGACAAGCAACAGGAGGAAAGACGAGAGCCCTGGGAAGGGATCCGCGAGGCCGAGGCGCTTTAGCGAGAATCGTGACGTCTTAAGTGGTAACGACTTTGTTTCCTTTGAAGAAATGCAGCGGCAGGTACAAACAGCCGCTTGTGAGCAGGAGGCACACCAGCCGCAGCCGCAGTCGCAGCAGCAACAACAGCAACACTTCCAGCGTGGTGTGAAGAGTGCTCGTTCCCCCAGTTGTAAACTTGGGAACTTGCAAGGCGAACGCACGGATGGGAACGACGAGAATAATGAAAGGGTAAAACGGATTTGTACATCAGTCGGGAGGGGAAATGTGGAGGAGAAACACACGGACACATGCACACACGAGGGAGGGGCGGTAGAATGACGCGGCGTGTGTGTTGCTTTGCAGGGGGGATGGGGATGGCGTTCTTTTCCCTTCTTTTTTTGTCCCTATACTCATCCGCACTTGTTTTCTAGCGTGTGCGAATGACATTAATTATTTACTGTATGAGATTATTATTGTTGTTTTTTTTTTTTACCGTTTTTTTAATTGAAATTTGTTTTTCTTTTTTTTGTTGAATTTTTTTCTGTTGAAATTTTTTATGTAAAAGTTTTTTTTTTTTTTCCCCCCTTGTTGCATCTACCGTCGCATTGCCCTCCTGTTTACTGCAGCCGCTTCGTTGCCGCCCTTTGCTTTTTTATCCAACTTGGGAAATAACAAGAATGGGGGACTGAGCGGTTGTCTCTCTCTTTCTCTCTTTGTGTGTGTGTGTGTGTGTGTGTGTCACTTATGGCATGGTGTGATGCTTCTTTTAGCGTGATTTACGGAAATGAGGAGCTTGTTGTTGTGAACAAACCGCACGATGTCCCCATGGACGGGGAGGCGTGTCCCGTGACGGTGGAGAAATGGGCATGGGCGTACCTCGCAAAGGGTGGTTGTGCCGACAACAGCGCCGGTGGTGGCGTAGAAAAGGAGGAAGATACGACGCGGACTGCTGGCAGAGGCAGGGGAGAAAAGAAAATGGTGAAGTTTGTGCACCAGTTGGATTATGCAACAAGCGGTGTGTTGTGTGTCGCCTTTTCGAGGGAAATGGCTGCGCGACTTGCACATTGCTTTGAGATGCGCACGACACGGAAGGCCTATTTGGCAGTTCTTCTTGGGATGATGCCAACAACTTCTGCCATGCAAAAAAAATTGGACACTGACACCGGTGTGGATTTTCTTCGTGGGTCCCCCTACGCCAGTCATGTTCGTAGGATTTCAATGGATGACGTGCCAGGCGTTTGTTTTATTCGCAAGTGTGTGATTGAGGCTAGCGGACATGAAGAGGGAGAGAATGCCGATTGCTGCGCCACTCTTCTTGAGGTGAACCTTCCTGTGGGGTACGACACGACCGACCATGAGGGCTTTCGGATGACTGTAAACGGAAGGGATGCGCGGGGGAGCGTGACCTACTTGAGTGTGCTGCAGCGTGGGCACATGACACATCCTACATCGGGTTGCTCCGTGCCAGTGACAAAAGTTGCGTTATTTCCGCGAACGGGTCGACGGCACCAACTTCGAGTGCATTGCCATGCAATCGGCTTCCCCATTCTTGGCGATGTCACCTACGCGAGAATTCCAACGCCGCGGGTCGCTTCAAAAGTAACAGGGGCTGAGGAGGTGGCAACTGTTGGTGCAGCGGAGTCGATAAACGCACCTAACGAAATAGACGCGATAGAGGCGTGGCAACGGATGATGCTTCACGCATGGCGTCTTTCGTTTCCCGTAAGTATGGAGCCACTGCGGTCTGGGAGTGAACGCTACATGCAGAAGAAGAAGCGGCGACGTGAGACATTGGGTTTGGCGGTCGCCGGTGGAGATGACACCACTGTCTGGACGCACTTTGAGACGGAGGATCCTTTTCAGTTGGTTCGCCCTGAGTGAAGGAGAAGATACGCGAATGGGAGGGGTGGGAGTGACATTCCCGCCACACACAGGCAGGCAGACAGACATCCATCACAAAGCTGTTCGGTAATTTGGCAGATGCACGACAGAAAAGGAAAAAAAAAAAAACGGAGGAAAAAAAATTCCGTGTCTGCGTTTCTTTTTTTTTTTCTGTCGTGCGGAATGCAAGCAATATCTTTTTTTCCTGTCTTGTTGTTTTTCTGTTCTCGTGGGTCTTTCGTAATTGAAGAGGAATGCTGCACGAGGCGTATGCCCCAGAAGACACCAGGTCCGTGGCTTGGAGCCGTCAAAAAAAAGTTGCGTTTCTTAGTCTCATTTCCGGCATGCGGGACGGCACGCGGCCGCCGAGTGTTCTCCTCCTGTATGGCCCAACAGGCTCGGGTAAACTCACCTCTGTGCGGGCCATGCTTCGGGAGCAACGCGATGCTGTTGGTCGTCCCCTACTCGTCGAGGTGCTGCATTCCTGCGAGTCAACGCCGCAGCAGTATTACAGTTTCCTCATGGATACATTCACGGAACATCAATTGGCGGGAAACGACCCGTGCGAGTCACATCTTTCCGCATCTTCGGTTTCTGCGGATGACTCCAGTGATGTGAAGGGCCGAGCGCAGCGGCCGTGTGAAGCTCAAATTCGGCAACAGCCGCGCGTGGTAGCCCGTGTGATGAAGTTGTATGGCGAGTCGCTGATTTCTCCCCTTCATGCACGCACGTTACGTTTTCTTGATCACTATGACGCATGGAGGCGCGCTGAGTTTTTAGGAAATTGTACTGGAGATGGCCCGAACGCATTGGGTGGCTCGATCTTACGGCGTCACTTTGTGCTTTTTGTCCTCACGACACACGATACACACAGCGATAAGGTGGCACTGGGGAAGCTGCTTCCCTCTCGTGTTCTCACACATCCATGCATCTACTCTTTCCACTGCACCCCAATCACAACGCGGAACTTGACGATACGCGTCAAGGATGTCTTGCGCATGGAGAAAAGACGGCAAACATGTGGCGTTAGATGTCATATTTCTGATGAACATGTGGATTTTTTGTGCGAACACAGCAATGGCGATATCCGTCAGGCGTTACTTCAGGTGCAATGGCGTTGCCTTCTGGGGGAAAGGGGCCTGAATGAAGCGGCGTTCTTGTCGACGTCGGCTGGGACGCCGAAGAAGAAAGGACCGCGGCCAAAATTAAAGAAACCGAAAAATGTCATGGATCTCGTTGATGATCACGAAAACGTTAGCGCGGAGACCTGCACGCTGCAATCATCGCTGGCTCCGGAAAAGGGTTTTGAAGAAGAAGTGGAAAAGGCGGTGCTATTCCGGGATGAGTATCTCGATGTGGCACATGCCACAGCACGTGTACTCACGCAGAAATACACGGTGTCTTCTGTGGCCAAGGAGCTAAACATTCAGCCCGAGAAGTTGTTTAGTTACATGACAAACAACATGCCGATTTACTTTCGTCCAGACCAAATGCAGGAGTATGCTGTTTGTGCTGCTGCCGCAAGCACTGCGGATGCTATACGTTCTGCAGAAGTATTTGGTAGACGTAGGCAAACCGGTGCAGAGCTACACACTGCACGTCTTGCGTCTGATGATGACAGCGATGGCATGGGAGTCATAGGGTTAGATCTTATGGCCCTGGTATTATTTGGCAAGGCCTACGAGGTTTGCCACAAGGATGTTTGCATTCCAGCTGCATTAGTGGCACAGCGTCCGCCGCCATACCAGCCCATGGCCTACCCGCGTCTAAGAGATGTGGAACCAACACGAAAACGGTTTCGGAATGATGGTGGGGGATACATTGAAGATGAATTTGGAAGGAAAAGGGGGAGAGACGAGGAGCACAAAGTTGACTTTACGGAGCAGGAGTGGCGCCAAGAGTTTCTGCGGCGTATTGAACCACGCGCAATGGGTGGGGGCTCATGGCAAGGCGCGGATGCTGATATTCTGCGGGAAACGCTTCCAGCACTTGTTAACAGGTGTGCCTCGTTGGAAACAGTGCTGCTGGAGTATGCCCCGTATGCGAGATGCATCGTGCTTGACTGGTCCCCGCCGACTGCATCCCGCGGTGTACGCGATGGCAATGCGACGGCATTATCGAGTAACGTGGAGTCGTTTAAAAAGCGACCTGTGGAAACCTCATTCAAGCCGCCAGGGCCGAAGAAGACTCTGTTTTCCTTTGCGGAAAGGAGGGCCCCATCGCTGCAGAAACGGCCGTGTTCACTTCTGCGGTACAAAATACTCTGCTGTGGCCTGGTCGAAAGGCCTCCTGTCCGCGCAGAACACTTTTTTATTGTCAAACGCCACGATGACAATGGAGACGATGGCGACGACCTGTTGGATGATGCGGCTTCCGACCCCAACGCCCCGCTGCCGTTACTTCCCGATGGAGAAGACATTGAGGAGTACGATGACTGAAGGAAAGATGTGTACACTTTGTCTGCACCCGCCCTCTGTGCACGTCAATAAACATGTGCGTTTTTGTTGTTTACGAATTAATTAATTAATTAATTTCTTTGCCTTTGTGCGTTTGTACCTGTTCTATGCGTGTCTCTTTTTACTGCGCTGGGGAGGAGATGCGTTTTTTTTTTTTTTTTGTGTGTGCCCTTCTCGCAACAACAAAAACAAAAAAAAAATTAATTCAGCCCAATAAATATTAGAGATAAACAGGCTGGTGAGAGGGAAGAGCACGATTGAGTAGCTGAGAGAATAGGCCACACAGGGGCAAAAGCAAAAGTCGCTCAAAAACAGAAAACAACAACAACAACAACAACAAGACAGGAAGCCATGGACGCGTACACATCGCTGCTGAATCTTAACTTCATGTCGGCCTGGCGAACAGGCAACAGCCTGATCGACATGCTCATTGCCATGACTATTCCTTTTGTGTCAAATTGGGTGGCGAGGTTCTTTTCTGTTATTTGGCCTGCTTATGTAAAGAAATTTATTGCGTGGATTCTTCCCAGAGACGCGGAAGTAATAATTCAACACGGCCTGACCGATCGATATCAACGGGCAGTGGATTTGACTGAAGGGTCGGTTCTGCAGGAGGCTGTTGAACGTTACATCAGCCATGAGTTGAAGCCCTTCTACTCGAGTGGTGAAGTTGTGTACAATATGGTGTCGCACAGCGACGGGCCTGATAGGAAGACCATGGCGCAGGTGTTGGAAGAGGACTTTAGGCTTTTCTGCCGCCCCTTAAAGGAGAGCGTCCGGCTTGGGAACGGCATTGCTTTTTTCATACGGGAGTCAGAGGATGAGACGCCTTCCAAGTCGAAGGGCGCCGTGGCGAATGGCGGTGGAGAGAAGGGGGGGAGGTTGCGAACAAAGGCCCGGATGCGGGAGGTTTTTTTGAGGGAAAAGTCAGGAGGCCGCGATGAGGGCGATAGAGTGTTGGCGTTTGTGCAGGCTGCGTTGAAGTGGCATGTGAAGAGCCTTGAGAAGACATCGACCAGGAAGCGCTACCTCTACCAGCCCACTCGAAATAAAGATGCCCTCGGCGGTAACGATGGTGCCCTGACAAGAGTGCTACGCTACCCCCTGTACGACATGAAGTCTTTTAGCTCCCTCTTCTTTCCGGAGAAGGAAAAACTGATAGCGCTGATCGACCAGTTTGAAAGCAAAACGGGCCGGTTTGCGGTACCAGGCTTTCCCCACAAACTCGTATTGCTGCTGCATGGGCCACCCGGCACGGGCAAGACCAGCCTGGTGAAAGCCATTGCGCAGCATACGGGGCGTCACATTTTTTCCATCCCTCTTTCTCAGGTGCGCACAAACCAAGAACTCATCTCCTGCATGCACGATCAGCTCTTTGAGGTGTGCAAGAATCGCCAGTTTTGGAAGGTCTCGCTTCGTCCGGAAAAACTCATTTATCTCCTGGAAGATGCCGACGCCACGTCGGATTTCATGCTTAAAAACAAGACGAAGAGCACAGCGAAGAAGAGTCAAGGGAAACAGGCGACTTGCCCACCGAATAAGGACGCAATTACGACTAAAGGACTATTGGAAGCGTTTGGCGGGATTCTTGACGCCCCCAAGCGAATTATTGTTATGACAACTAATCATATTGAGCGACTTGACAGTGCCATTGTTCGCCCAGGTTTCGTTACGATGCGATTGTACATGGGAAAATTTACGAAGGAGTATGCGGCACAGATGGTCAGGCATTACTATGGGCCCGAGGCGGCCACAGAGGAGCGTCTAAAGTGCCTGAAGGAAGTGCTGCAGCGGGCCAGTGACACGGAGGTTTACTTTAGTCCTTCCGAGTTGGAGCAGTTGTGTGCGGAGTATGAAGACATTGAGGAGCTTATCGAGGTGCTGAAGAAAGGAAGTCGAGAAGAGGTTTTTTAAACGCGTTTATTGCCTTACAGAATCATCTGTCGTCCTTCTGCTTTTACATACATAAAAGAGAAAAACAAAATCAAAAACAAAAGCACAACGATTTTGGTTTCGTTTTTCCTTTTACAATGAGAATGGAGCACCTGTTGAATAATTGGGTATTTATGCAAATGCGCACGCACACACATATGGACACACAATTTATTTTATTTTATTTTTTATTTTTATAATTTATACATGTGTATGAATTTTTGCGTGTTGTTTTGGTCTTTGCCGTCCCTACATAACCAAAAGGAAGTTTGAGCGTGTGTGTGTGTGTGGGAGAACGAAAGGGAAAGAACAACAACAGCATCAGGAAAAAAAGAAGAGAGATTTCACACAGGCAAGAAAAGGCATATACACTGCAGGGTTGGCTGCTGATATTTTATGATTACATATTGGATGTCGGCCGCAAAGACACCTGTAAACGTTCTGATCCTGGTGACGGGTAGTATTGCCGCTGTAAAAGTGGGCCTACTTTTAGACCAGCTCTTTAACGAATCTTATCAGGTTCGCATTGCCGCTACCAAAAGCGCGTTTCACTTCTTGAATCGAGCACAAAAACCTGCCCGAGAACTGCCTCTGCATCACATTCTCACGGACGAGGATGAGTGGAGGGAATGGCAAGGAATGAATGATGCTGTTATGCACATTGAACTGCGGCGATGGGCACACCTTGTCGTCATTGCACCTTTGGACGCCAACAGTCTTGCAAAGCTCTCAAACGGTTTGTGCGACAACTTGGTCACTTGTGTTATGCGATCGTGGGAGGTGAAGAAGAAGCCGGTGATTTTGTGTCCATCAATGAACACCGCCATGTGGACACATCCGGTGACGGCAATGCAGCTAAAAACATTACAGTCCTGGTATGCCCTGACTCCTGTGGGACTGAGACTGGACACTGACGAGACCGACGGCTACATCACGGCGCTTCCCAGCAATTTGGATGAGGCGATGTTTCAGATCGTCTGGCCTGTGAAGAAACGTTTAGCATGCGGTGATGTGGGAATTGGTGGAATGGCCTCAGTGGATGCGATTGCCAGGGTAATACAACACACAGCAGAACTTATTCGCGCCAAGAATCCTAATGCCACGACGAACGGAACAGCTTGCGAGGAAAAAAAAACGGGAGAACAGGCGCCGCTCTCGGGGGAGCAACAAGGCACCATTGCAGAAGGTCATCAGGTGAGTTCATAAGAGAATGGGATTTTGGTCAAGTTGCCTTTTCTCATTTTGTTGTCTTGTGAGCTTCTGGTAGAAACATCTTTCTTTTCTGAGTCGTCCGCAACGATCTATTTTTATGGTGTTGTTTATTATTATTATTATTATTTTACGTTGCCCGCTTGTTTTTTTTTTTTTTAATGGATTTCTTATTTCTGCTGGATGCGAATCACGTCAGAATTACATGTGCTGCCAAAATAAATTGATTTGAATGCATCCATATTTTATTATTATTAT